AGCTCCAAGAACTCTCTGATACTCAAATCTGTTGACCCTGTCCCTTCGTCACATCCGTATTTCCCTCTGAACATGTTCTGGATTCCATGTGTCCATCATCATAATTAATCTCTTCCTCACATACACCCTCAACTCCCTGCCTCAAACTTCCTTTACTTTGCTCTCTGGGCAAACTCCAATTCTGGATAAACTCAGTTCTCTACTTTTCTGTGATCGCACAATTGAATATGCCTGGAGAAAAACACACAGCCATCTGACTGTTCTTAAATTAATGACCACTAACCTTGAGTGGGCCCTTCCTGCTGTTCCAAAGTCCAGTCACTTTTGTATTCTAACTATTTTATCCCTTTTCCTCCTCTCAAAATTTCAACACTTCTTCCTGCTCTCACTCTCAATTGTTGACCTTGCTTCCTAAGGAGACAGAAACAATCAGATGAGAACTTTTACAAGCTCTCACCCCAGGTACCCACTTACCTGCCCCCTCGCCCAACAGGAGGAAAACACAGTGTGTTGGGCGCAGAGGCAGGTAAGTTCCTCCCATTTCAGTGCATGAACTAAAGCAGCCCCTCCAGATGTACACTGGATTTTATGCCTGTTTGCATTCTGAAGAGCCCTACTTTGGCAATTCTTTCCTACATTATTTTGTGATCATTCCACATTTCTATCATTCTTATCAGCCTATGTGCTGCAAATTCTCCCATCAAGAAAAAAAGCCCCTCTTGACCTTCTATCCTAGACTGTGTCTAAAAAATATCTGAAGAAAAAAAATTAGGCTGCCTGTGTGTGTGCTCAGTCATGTCCAACTCTTTGCTACATGGAGTGTAGCCCACCAGGCTCCTCTGTCCATGGGATTTCCCAGGCAAGAATACTGGAGTGGGTAGCCATTTCCTTCTCCAGGGAATCTTCCGACCCAGGAATTGAAACTGTCTCCTCCATCTTCTGCATTGACAGGCAGATTCTTTACTACTGTACCACCTGGGAAGCCCCCCAAATTAGGCTACTTGCCCTATAAGATATCAGGACACATTATAAAGCTACTGTAACTAAGAAACTGTAGTACTGACCAAAGGAACAGAATAGAGAACCCAGAGAGACCCATGGCTACATGACAGATGACACTGCATATCAGAAAGGAAAAGAGAGACTGTTTAATACATGGTGCTGGTTAAATGGTCATGTTGTGGGAAAAATGCAGTGGGATCCTATCTTGTACCCCACACAAAGATCAAGTCTAGATGGATTAAACACTAAAATGTTAAAAATAAAAGTTTACAATTTTAAAATGAAGTACAGGAGAATATATTTCTGACTTTGGGATAGGAATGGATTTCTCAAACAATACAGAAAAATGATAACCATAACAAGAAAATTTTGATATATCTGACTACAATAAAATGAAGAATGTCTATTCACTAACAGGTATTAAGAAATTGAACAGAAAAGCCACAAACTTGGAGAAGATGTCTGCAATGCACATGACCACCCATGTCTGTTAGAGTCCAGAATATGTAAAGGAGTCCTTTACATGTCAGTAGGAAAATACATTCAATAAGAAAATGGGCAAAATTTGTAAATCAAGCACTGTACAAAAGAGGAAGCACAGGTGGTCAAATAGGTAAAAAGAGGCTCAACTTCATTACTGATCAAAGAACTGCAAATTAAGATTAGAATTTTCACCCACTATATTGGGAAGAATTTTAAACTCTGACAATGACAAGTGAGTCATAGGAACTCATACATGGATGGTGGAGTATAAGCTGGTCCAACAACTTAGGGACATAATTTGGCATTATCTTATAAACACCATAAAAACAGTTGTGACTCAGCCTGTCCAGTCTGAGTTTACATACCCTTAAAGAAACTCTTGCATGTGTACACTAGGAGACAATATGGAAATATTCACAGCAACACAGTTCCTAACTGCAAAAAGCTGGAAATGACCAAAATGCCTGTCAACAGAAGGGTGGATAAAGAAGTTATGATATACTCATAAAATTGAGTATTATAAAGTAATGAGAAATGAGTCAACTACACACAACCCCATGAAGGAATCTCAGAAGCAGAGTAGTGAGTAAATGTCATCATTTTTTAAAAATCTCAAAAAGGAGCAAAATTTAATTATTGTTTAAGTATATACCTGTATGTTAGGTATGGGCTAAGTTTTTGAAAATGGAAGGAAATGGTAAATATATAACACTAGTGGTTATCTCTAGGTAGGAAGAAGATGGGATGGGAAAGAACATGTAAATGGATACAAGTTATTGTTATATTCTACTTTTGGGGTTGAGTGGTAGGGTCTCTGGTATTGCTTACTACTTGATATTATATATATCCTTTTGTGTATAAAATTATATTATTAGACACAGGGTAGAAATAAAAAGATCTTAGGCCCTTGCTTCTAACTCATGCCCTGAAGAGCCGTGTGACGCTGCCATCCTTTTGGCTTCAGGTTACCCAGCTCCAAAGTGCAGACCACCGCACCTGCCCCGGGATCCCCGTGAGGACTAAGGAGAGGGACAGCACTGACAACAGCGTGGGCACACAGGGTGTCAGCCGCGACCACGCCGCTGCTCTTGCTACTTCCGGTAGCAACTAGCTTCTGAGTGGCTTTAAGATATTAAAGTAGAGATGGTTTCATTAACAGAAAAATGAATCTACAATGCAATAGATACAGAATGGGAAGCCATCAGTCATATATGACAGTTGAAGCCATGTGAGTGCCTAAGATGGACAGAGGGGAAGCTTTCAGACTAGAAGTGTGCCAAGACAGCCTGGAGGAAAGTGCTCTAGAAAGAGACTGAGAAGAAACTGGGAGAAGCAGCAGAAGAGACTAGTGAGCTGGAGGCACAGTCAGAAGGAGAAAGTGGCCAATGGTACTAAATGCTGCAGATTAAGACTAAAGCAGACACTGGGTTTGGTAATGGGAGGATCACTAGGGACCTTTACAAGAGCAGTTTCAATGAAATAGCAGAGGAAACAAGAGTGTCAAGTCATGAGTGGGTGAGACAATGGACACTGGGAGGAAAAAAAATAACTTTTAAGAAATTAGAGATGAAGAGAAAGGTGGAAAGAGAAGGACATATAGTAGAAGGGAGGTATCTATAATGGTAAAGTGAAAGTGAAAGTCGCTCAGTCCTATTCGACCCTTTGCGATCTAGAATTCTCTAGGCCAGATTACTGGAGTGGGTAGCCTTTCCCTTCCCCAGGGGATCTTCCCAACCCAGTGATCAAACCCACATCTCCCGCAATGCAGGCGAATTCTTTACCAGCTGACCCACAAGCTGCTGCTAAGTCACTCCAATCAAGTCCAACTCTGTGTAACCCCACAGATGGCAGCCCTCCAGGCTCCCCCGTCCTTGGGATTCTCCAGGCAAGAACACTGGAGTGGGCTAACATTTCCTTCTCCAATGCATAAAAGTGAAACATGAAAGTAAAGTCGCTCAGTTGTGTCCAACTCTTAGCGACCCCATGGACCGCAGCCTACCAGGCTCCTCTGTCCATGGGATTTTCCAGGCAAGAGTACTAGAGTGGGGTGCCATTGCCTTCTCCGTGACCAACAAGGGAAGCCCCTATAAGGATAAGGGAGACCTAATACTGTTTAGAGGCAGAGAGTAAGGAGCAGTGGGAAAGAAAGGAAAGGCACAGGAGAGAGGCGGGACAAGTGATGGGGGTGAGGGGGTAACCTTGGAGAAGGTAGGAGGAGATGATATTCTGGACTCTGACGATAGAAAGGTAGATCTTAGTGCTTCTCAAATCGTCATGTGCAGATGAATAACTTGGGAGTTAACATGCAGATTCTGGTTTGGTAGGTCTAGGGTTGAGCCTGGATTCTGCATCTCTAACAAGCCTCCAGATGATGTTGATGTCACTGGTCTGCAGGCTGCACATGGAGAAGTAAGGGTGTAGACTGCCTCCTTCTCTGTCACAGGAAGTGCAGTCAGACATGAAGTTGGTAGTAAAGGGGAGACACGTGGTGGGAGTTTTTGCTCTATGCACATTAAAGATACCTAGGATGAAGGTAGCAGGTGAGATAAAAAGAAAACCGAATATAAGTCAGGTACTCAAGCCTTTGGTGACTGTTAGCAGCTCAGTGTCCCTGGGGGAGCTATGTGCATAGGTAATGAGAGGGGTCTATTTATCGGAGAGGTCGAGAGAAGGAAGGCAGAGGACAGAGTGAAGCTGCACTGTGTAAGAGGAACAAGGGAGTAGTTAGAATTGTCATAACTTGGGAATAAACATGGGTTACTGGAAGCAGGAGACAGTTGAGAGGTAAACAGTACTGACAAAAGCAGACCAGAAATGAAATCAGAACTAAAGAGTAATAACTTGTTTTATGGATACTGTTTTAAAATGATTTGCCGCTGTCTAGTTAGTCTTCATAAAGATCTATGGAAAATGACCAGGGGCAAATCTGCCTTCACTAAAACTTTTACAAATGTTGACTTGTCTGTGACCTTGAAGTTACTGACAGAGGTTAACACTAGTGAACAAGATTCAAAGTGGACAACTTTCCCCCTTGGTTACTTTAAACATTTACATTCACATATAGTTTGAATATTTAAAGTCCCCTGGGTATATTAAATCACATACTGCTTCTAGCAAAGAAGGAATAGTATAAAACACCCTATTTTGAACATGCCATTCATTTTATAATAAAAGAAATGCAACTGTCAAATTCTGAGGTGGCATTTCTTCATTTCAGTACTTCATGCCTAACTTTTCAAAAACTCGCAAGCCGCTGAAATTAGTTTAAAAGAGAATCAACATGTTTGAGTTCCAAACTGATGGGCAGGTGTAATTCACACCTGGCTGTCCTTTGTTCTCAGACTGTGAGAAGCTTATCACTTATTCAGGAGCAGGGAATGAATGTATAGGTCCAGCTGAGCATGTTCTCCATCACCAAGGCCACAGTTACTAACGCTGAGATAGGAACCCTGTTCTGAGGCAGAGTGCCTTCCAGGTGAACAGGAAGGTAGGAGACGTTACAGGCATATTCTTACCCCTTCACTGGTTTTTTGCAAGTCTGAAGTTGTGTTTCTTGTGTCATTGCCGGCATCTCCACCCTCAGAGCTGCTTTTATTTTCTTCTTCTTTGCAGTCCTTGTCATCTTCATCTCCTGGAGATTTCCGGGACTGTTTAGAGGATTTCTAAAGGTTTAGACAAGTTAAAAATTATAGTCAAAAGTAGAGCCCTGAATGCACAAATGCAAGTGAGAAATGTAGGAACAGCTGGCCTATATCCAGTTTGTGTGGCTTGATACAGGATACAGCATGATACAACATGAAGAGTACTAAGACTGAGCGAGATAACCCTGGACAAGTCATCTCACCTCCCTGGGCCTCAGTTTAACCAGCTGGAAAGGAAGTAGAGGTGGACTAGATAACCTTTTAGTTCTTCCCAGCAGTGTGATATGAAGGGCAGAAAATGAAGAGTCATACATCTGGAACACTATCAATGAATAAATACAGTTGATGGATACCACTCTAGGAAGGCTACAAAGCTAGGAGGCACCCTAAAGGTCGCCTGTCCTTCCCCATCATTTCACAGCAGAGTGTGAGGTCCAGAGAAGCAAGATCAACTATCTAGAATCATACATAGATACCCACGTTAGAGCACTTATAGAAGCTGTCAGTTTAATGGCATATATGGCATGATCTTGGCAAAACTTGTACATCACCATGTGATCCGAATTTAATTTTTTAAATTATGGAGAATTATTTAAGAACTCAAGGCCACACTGGTGAACTAGCTCCTTTTTTATCATCTTACTTCTGAAACCAAGATGAACTCTGCAGTGAGGATGAAAATACAATTAGAGTTCACAGCCAGAGCTGCTTTGCAGAACAACATTAAAATGATCAAAAGCTGGCCCTACTGTGCATTTTTAAGAAAATAAAATGTAGCATTTTACTTACACTTCCTTTCTGAAAAATTTTATGAATCTTTAAGCACATGGCAAATAACAGCTAAGAAAACTCATTAAGCCAAGACACTTTTGGTCTTAACAAAAATGAAGTTAGCATATTTAAGCTTCCTCAGACAATCTGTATTTTAAAATGCAACTTTTAAAGAGAAAATACCTTTTAGCTATGTGACAGAATCTATAATTACATTGCTTCTATTTTACTTAACTGAAATGACCAACCAAGCCTCAAATGTCCCTTTAAAATGACAGTTTTTACTTTTTTACATAGAAGGAAAGCAGGGATTTAATAATCTGAATGTGGAGTGCCTAGAGTTTAAGTTTAAATCAAGTGTGATGATATGAAAGGTGAAATACTTTTGTTCTCCTAGTAAATACAGTATAATTATAAAAATGGAGTAATTGCTTTACATAGCAATCCTCAAATAACAGTTCCTGACTTGCAATTCTTATGGAAAATAAGGCACAACACCCTAAAATTTATAGTGCCTACAAAGGATACAGACGAGTAACCCTGTGATTTTTTTAAGTTTTATAATTTTTCAGGTTTTTATAATTTTTTAAGACTAGAAATAGGGTGTTACTTCAGTTTTGCTAATGAGTCACATTCAGTATTCCACTGAGAAATCTGGCTGCCACGCTATATGTTGTAAACTTAGGAAGCTCTCACTGGGCGTATGCAGATCCTTGCAATCCCTGGAATTTTGGGGAAGGACCCACCCTTTACTAGTTTCATCAACGTGATCTTAAACTGGTTGTGTACCCAGCCATTGCTGTCTTTGGTTTTTAACTAAGATTGCTAATGGTTTACTATCAGCATCAGTTCAGTCTGTTGTGAGGTTCTCTTGATTCTGTTCAGTTCAGTTCAGTGGCTCAGTCGTGTCCGACTCTGCGACCCCATGAATCACAGCATGCCAGGCCTCCCTGTCCATTAGCTCTCCTTTTTACAGTAAATAACTTCTATGCAAAGTATGTTCTGCTAATAATTTTCCAGTATCTGTTATGGCTCCAATATGAATCATACATACACTTATTGCTCAAGTGATATACACATATATACATACATATATATATATATCTATATATATATCTCCTCCCTCAAGTGTGCTTCTACTATGGCTTTTCATTATGGTTACTGAACTTTTTTCCCATAGAAAAACAGAATTGGGTGAGGTAGGGGGACGTGGGACTCTTCCCTCAACCTAACTTGGATGCAGTCAGAAAAGTCTGTGAGCCACTGGTTTTCAGTGACAAAGGAAAATCACTCAACTTTAATAAACAGATGTAGGAAAAAAAAATCACCACACACAACAAAAAGGAAACATTTGGAAAGTCAAAGAGAGCAGTGAGGTTACCCTAGGTATGTGGTTCCCAGATTGGCAACCTCAGCTCACAGATATTTAAGGTCCCAACCTAAATACGTTAGTCTAGACCAACTAAAATAGAAATTTTGGGGTGGGGTGGCACTGGGGCAATATATATTTTAACAACCCCATTCCCAGGTGATTCTGGTGCATGCGAAAGTTTGAGAGCCATTGTGCTAGCTTATTCAGTTGATACTGAAAATAAATCATGGTTCTCAAGTGATCACAAAAGTTGTGACCGTAAAGGAAGCAAAGGGAATGATTCTTTAATTTAAAAATAGGTAAGCCTTAGTAAGTATAGTATGCCTTTCCCTCTTCAATGCTTTATACTATAAGTCCACCCCAGGCAGGAGTTCCGTTACTTCTGGCTTTCACAAGAGAAATAAAATAAGGATGTTTAAAAGTCACATATACACACTATTAAATATCTAAGCTACCTTAGAAAGCTTAGATAATTTAGGGTAGCACAACACATTTCATAGAAGCTCAGCAGACAATCATGAATTAAATAAAATAAATTCAGTTGGGTGTTTAAGAGAAGTCCAAAACGCTAAAAGAAATTCAGCTTAAAGACTGGGAGATCCAGTCTTCCACAGGGGTTATTTTTATAACTATTTTGCTGTCATTTGCAAACTTAATCCTCATTTAAGGCAGATACCATGTTCTTCATGAGGTGTACAGGAAGTAATATGCATTCATACAATTGTACCTGTATGCCAGTTGGGTAGGTTTTATAGACTGTAAAATAAAAGGCTGACAGTCTAATAAACCAGTGATACTTGTTTTTAAGGAGTTTCGTAAGTATATCCAGTCACTAAATACTACAGTCTAAATGGAAGTAATTTCTCTAAGGATTCACCTTTGTGACAGACCCATTACAGCAAAACTTGTACCAATCTTTATCTTCAAAGATCCATTTATCCTGCTTAAAGTTTCTATAAGGTGAACAACTTCCACAATATCAGTTTTTTTCAACTGCATTTGTGAATTACTGTACGAAAAACCTAAACTTCTGATTTGTAAATCAAGGATCATGTCATGTGTCCAATAAATTATTGTTACATTTGGAAAAAAATTCAAACTCCTTAACACATTATTGACCATAGGCAGAAACTATGCCTGTGGCCAGTGGTTTGTTATGTATGTGAATACTGAAACGTCTCTGGTCAATACTGTTCAGGTAACCAAAGACATATTTAATACATCTCTGGTCAGTAAGCTGTCAGCATGGCCTACCAGTCTCCATTGTTTAGTCTCTGCTGGTCTCGACCTCCTGATCCTGATGCCTGCCTTGTTGCAATTCAGGAACACGTCAAACGCTCCCCACCTTCAGAGCTCTGCCACACACAGCTCTTCCTTCCAGACTCTTTCAGGTCTCGGCATAAACTTCGTTTTCTCAGAAAGGCCTGGCCACTCTATCTCAATAGATGTACTTTGTCATTCCCTGCTCCCATTCATTTCCTTCACAGCCCTTCCAGAATTTACGTTCATTATTGGTTTTTACTCTGTGTTTCCACCCCCAACCCACTGGATGTTAAGTTATAGGAGGGTAGGACTGGAGTTGGATTTGCTCACTAGTATCTACCTAGTACAGCGTCTGACATACAGAAGGTGATCAGGAAAGAGGACTGAAAAAATAAAGTGTCAAAGTACAGTCTTTAAAGAAAAGAGACAAGAGTCTGAGTCTATCTTTACGCTTCCATCAACAGTAACAGACATAGTCCTAAATTGTACTGAAGTCTCCTACATTCTTAAATTCTTCAGAGCTGATCTGCAGATTGTTATCAGAGGGATACCTACTCTTATACCCTTGATTGAAGAACAGTCCTCCTCCAACTAAGAAGGCGGTATTTCAGGGCCAAATAGCCCTTACGAGAGTTCATAGCAGTTACCCTCACGTCTAAGATTACCTGCCTATTCCCTTCAGATGTATTACTGTCTCTAAAGAAAGAGGCTCAAAAGAGTTGATATATTTCTATGCGTATTAACAAGGGGAAAGGTTTCTCAGTAACCTTTGAAGTGTATGACTTTTTCCGCTTTGAGCCTGCTTTTTCACTCTTTCTTTTGCCTTTTCCATCTTCCTCTACTCTGTCGCCTTCTTCCTCACTGCTTGCGTCAGCAGTATTCCCACCTTCTCCCTCGGTTTCTGAAGAGCTCTGTTGCTGAATTGCCTAAGAAAAAAAGAAAATATTAGCTAACTACATTTTGAAAAATAGCAAAGACCGTGGACTGCAAAAAGAACCATTCTATTTTAATTAGAAAAAGTTCAGCTTACTCTAGATTTTCAAAATAAAGGGCTATCAACTTCAGTTTTCCAGTAACTACTTGACATGAATCCTCTTAGAGTAACAGAATTACAGGCATACCTGGGAGATATTGCAGGTTCAGTTCCAGACCACCACAATAAAGCAAATATCACAATAAGGCAAGTCACATGAATTTTTTGGTTCCCCAATGCATATAAAAATTATGCTTATACCATACTCTAATCTATTAAGTTTATAGTAGCATTATGTCTAAAAAACTATGTATATACCTTAAAGATATTTTACTGCTAAAAAATGCTAATCATCATCTGAGCCTCCAGTGGGTCCTAATCTTTTCGCTGATGGAGGGTCAGTCACGTAAATGGCTACTGACTGATCAGGGTGGTGGTTGCTGAAGGTTGAGGTGGCTGTGGCAACTTAAAGTAAGACAACAACAACAAGTGCAGTATCAGCCGAATCTGCCTTTTACAAATGAGTTCCCTGTAGCAGGCAATGCAGTTGGACAACATGTTAGCCATCACAGATTTTTTTTTCAAAATTGGAGTCAATCCCCTCAAACCTTGTCACTGCTCTATCAACTAAGTTTATGTAATATTTTGAATCCTTTGTTGTCATATCAGCCTTCACAATATCTTTACCAGAAATAGCTTTCATCTCAAGAAACGACACTCTTTGTTCATCCATAAGAAGCAATTTCTTATCCATTTAAGTTTTAACAGCAGACTGCAACAGTGAAATTATATCTTCAAGCTCTGCTTCTAACTCTTAATTCTCTTGCCATTTCCACCACATCTGCAGTTACTCCCTCCACTGAAGTCTTGAAGCCCTCCAAGTCATCCGTGAGGGTTGGAATCCACTTCTTTCAAACTCCTCTTAATGTTGATACTCTGACCTCTTCCTTTGAATCATAAATGTTGTTAATGGCATTTAGAATGGTGAATCCTTTCTAGAAGGTTTTCTTTTCTTTTTTTTTTCTTTTTCTAGAAGGTTTTCAACCAACTTTTCCCCATATCTGTCAGAGGAGTCACCAACTATGGCTACTATAGCCTTATTAAGATGCGTTTCTTAAATAATAAGACTTGAAAGTCTAAATTCCTCCTGGATCCATGGACTGCAGATGGATGTGGTGTCAGCAGGCAGGAAAACACCACTAATCTCCTGGTACACCTCTATCAGAGCTTGTGGGTGGCCTGATGCACTGTCAATAGGCAGGAATATTTTCAAAGGAATCTTTTTTTCTGAGCAGTAGTTCTCAAGAGTGGCCTTAAAAATATTCAGTAAACCATGTGGTCAGTACACTGTGCTGTCATCTAGGTATCGGTGTTCAATTTATAAAACACAGGCAGAGTAGATTCAGCACAATCTTTAAAGACTCTAGAATTTCCAGAATGGTCAATGAGCACTGGCTTCAACTTAAAGCCACCTATTGAATTAGCCTCTAACAAGAGTCAGGCTATCTTTTGAAGCTAAGTCAGCAGAAGTCTCCTCTTTAGCTAAGAAAGTCCTAGGGGGCATCTTCCAATAGAAGGCTGTGTCATTTACACTGAAAAATCTGTTGTTTAGTGTAGAGCCACCTTCATGAAGCACCTTAGCCAGAGCTTCTGGATCACCTGCTGCAGCTTCTATAGCAGCTCTTGCTGCTTCACTTTGCACTTTTATTTTTCTTTTTTCATTTATTTTTATTAGTTGGAGGCTAATTACTTTACAAGATTGTAGTGGTTTTTGTCATACATCGACATGAATCAGCCATGGATTTACATGTATTCCCCATCCCAATCCCCCCTCCCACCTCCCTCTCTACCCGATCCCTCTGGGTCTTCCCAGTGCACCAGCCCCGAGCACTTGTCTCATGCATCCAGCCTGGGCTGGTGATCTGTTTCACCCTAGATAATATACATGTTTCAATGCTGTTCTCTCGAAACATCCCACCCTCGCCTTCTCCCACAGAGTCCAAAAGTCTGTTCTGTACATCTGTGTCTCTTTTTCTGTTTTGCATATAGGGTTATCGTTACCATCTTTCTAAATTCCATATATACGCATTAGTAAACTGTAATGGTCTTTATCTTTCTGGCTTACTTCACTCTGTATAATGGGCTCCAGTTTCATCCATCTCATTAGAACTGATTCAAATGAATTCTTTTTAATGGCTGAGTAATATTCCATGATGTATATGTACCACAGCCTCCTTATCCATTCATCTGCTGATGGGCATCTAGGTTGCTTCCATGTCCTGGCTATTATAAACAGTGCTGCGATGAACACTGGGGTGCAGGTGTCTCTTTCAGATCTGGTTTCCTCAGTGTGTATGCCCAGAAGTATGTTATAGAAACAGCTTTTTCCTTAAGCCTCTGGCACCAACCTCTGCTAGCTTCACACTTTTCATCTACAGCTCCTCACCCCTCTCAGCCTTCACAGAATTGAAGAGAGTTAGGCCTTGCTCTGGATTAGGCTATGGCTGAAGGGAATCTTGTGACTGGTTTGATCTTCAATTCAGACCACTCAAACCTTCTCCATAGCAGCAATAAGGCTGTTTCATTTTCTTATTATTCATGCATTCACCAGAGTGGTACTCTTAATTTCTTTCAAGAACACTTCATTTGCATTCACGACTTGGCTAACTGTTTGGCTCCAAGAGGCCTAGCTTTAGGTCCATGTCAGTTTTCCACATGACTTCCTTGGTCTCTAAGCTGAATCATTTCTAGATTAAAAGTGAGAGACTTGACTCTTCCTTTCATCTGAATACTGAGATGCCACTGCAGGGTCATTAACTGGCCTAACTTCAATATTGTGTCTCACAGGGAGGCTCGAGGAGAGGGAGGGAGACAGGGGAACAGTTGATCAGTGGAGCACTCAGAACACACACAACATGAACACACACACATCAATTAAGTTCATCGTCTTATACGGGTGGGGTTTGTGGCACCCCAAAACAATTATAATGGTAATCTCAAAGATCACTGGATACTATTAACAAATAGAAGAATAGTGAAAAAGTTTGAAATACTGCGAGAATTACCAAAATATGATGCCAAGACACAAGGTGAGCTAGTGCTGGTAGAAAAAACAAGGTCAACAGACTTGCTCAATGCAGGGTTGCCACAAACCTTTGATTTGTGAAAAATGCACTATGTGAAGTGCAACAGAGCAAGGTACGCCTGAACATTTAATCCGAAGTGCGACTGGAGCAGGGAAGAGTTCTGACCTCAGATGGGTGGTGGGTAACTGTTAATACGAAGGATGCACAGAAAAGATCCAAAAAAGAGTTAAAATTAAAAAATGAGATACAGCAAGTGATAATAAAGTAAATTGTCACCTGGTATCCAGTAAACTTTACTCCTGGGTTATTTTCTATTTCCCACAATCCTTCATTAAATCCTTTCCGTTTGTTTGATTTTCCAAACTTGTCTTTGTATTCCTTATAAGGGAAGAGGTCTTTGGGACCTAGAAAAGCACTGCAGAGACACATAAGAAAGAGATTTGACATCTGACCTTCAAATGCAAGGTATTTTTAATATCAACTCATGTGTCAGGGCATATCTTAGTATATAAATTATAAGTATGTATAAACCCTCTGAGTTAGGCACATATCATAAGATGTTTTGCACACATAATTCAAGGTAGAAAAAAAATGGACAGCTAGGTATACAGGCCAGCAACACTGACAGTGTTGCTTTGATTTTAAATTACTAATTTCTTTTTTGTTTTGAAATTGATTTTTAGTTAAAGAAGTAGTTTTAAGGATGTCTACTTTGACCACTTACTAAGACTTACTAAGACTTATATATGCTAATCTTTCATAGGTAAGGGGTTTGTTAAGACATACAGTAAAAACATAAACACTGGAGTAAAAAATGATTCTAACTCTATATGCTACATTAGTATATTTATTATTATTTCTATAAATTAAAAAATCATTAGTGTTTAATGAGGCATCAGACAAGAAAAAAATTAGAAGTGGTAAAGTAGATAGAATCATCCAATTTAAACCTAATCCTAAATTAGTCATAATTATGAAAAGAAAATGAGAATAAATCCTGAGGCTGGCCTAGAGATCCAAGCATTTAAACCAAAGTCTTCAGCATTACTGTCTATGACATTAATCTGGCAGATGACACGGTAGGGCCCACAACCTGGCTGAGATGCATTTCAAACTGAGACTCATTTATTCACATTTTACTGAACATCTCTAACATGTCAGCTGTTTCAGAGGTGCTGGGCATTCTTCAGGGAACAAAAAGATGAACATCTCTGCCCTCATAGAGCAGACATTCTAGTAGCAAGGGTAGGAGTCTAGACAATAGAAAAGATAAATAAAATATAGTACCACGTGCTAAAAATAAATAAATCTATAGATGAAGCACAGTAAGGGCTGGGGTGGATTTTAACAGTTTTACAAATACAGATCAAGAGGGGAGGCCTCACTGAAAAGGGAACATTCAAGAACTGAAGAGGGTGAAGAAGGAATCCATGCGGTTATTTGGGGAAGAGGAGAGCAAGTTGAAGGAAGAGCAAGTAGAAAAGGCCCTGAGGTGGAAGAATGCCTAGTGTGTCTAAAGTGAAATGAGTGAAGAGAGAGTTGTGAGACGAGGTCAGAAAGGTACCAGGATGGGAGCACAATCGTGTTGGGGCTGAGGCCACTACAAAGGCTTTGAGTCAGATGGGAAGCCATTAACGGTTCTGAGTGTGACAATTTATGTTTTAAAAGGGCCACTCTGGCTGTGCTGAAAACACACTGAAGGTCTGGGTACTAGGGCAGAAGTGGAGAGACTAATTAGAGGCTACTGAAGTAACAATGGTGACTAGGACCAGGGTGTTGGTGAGAGGTGGCTGGATTCTGAATTCACTCTCCAGAAAGAGCCAAGGTGATTTGTTGATGAGTCGCATATGGCACGTGAGAGGGTGGAACTAAGTCTATCTCCAATGATGTGGGCTTCCCAGGTGGCTCAGTGGTAAAGAATTCACCTGCCAACGCAGGTGATGCAGGGTCGATCTCTGGGTCGGGAAGATCTCCTGGCGAAGGAAATGGCAACCCACTCCAGTATTCTTGCCTGGGAAATCTCATGGACAAAGGAGCATGGCGAGCTAAGTCCATGGGCTTGAAAAGAGTCGGACATGACTGAGCATGTACACACACCTGCCAAGGATACAGACTAAGAAATTAGAAGAATGAACTTAATATACTGAAATGCCAAGATTTTTTGAGAGAACAAGATTTGAAGGTGACATGTTCAGTTCTGGATGTTAAATCTGAAAACCCTAGTTAGATATCCCAGTGAAGATGTCAAGTAGGCAACTGGGCAGGTGATGTAGAATTCAGGGAAAACATCTGTGCTAGAGGTGTGTATTTGGAACTTATCAGCAGAAGTGATATTGAAAACTTTGAGATAATGGGTAACAGTTTACTGTTGATTTTATAAATTCCATTTTCTGACTGGATCTTAATACTGGTCCCTTCCTTTCACTGCCCAGCTGATCAAGAATTCAAGTTGATAAAATTACCCAAGCATGCTTTCTGACTCCAATCACCACATCTTCTTTGGTTGTTCAACTTTAACTGTTCAGCATGATTGCATTTCACTGCATCCAGAGATAGTTTATTAGGTTACTGGACATTTTAATCAAACTGAGCATGAGAAGGACATGTGACTTTGGGTCTGATGATTTCATTTGTAGAGCAATTTGACATGAATTATTAGACTACAGCTTTTGACCTTTCTCCAGTCGTCCTTGACTCTAGGTACAGGAATTAACTGTGGGCTAAGCTGCCTGAGGTTCATGTCAGCTATTGATGCTAACCAGAGCTTGTCTGTACTTTATGCCACAGGAGCCAGGGTTAATAATTCAACTGGCTATGTGAGCTATTGCCAGAAAGAGGGACATTGATTGAATGAGCTATTCTAAAGCAAATTCTTATTTTTGATAGATGATCTCAGGTTTTTCTGGTTTACAGATAATTCCACAAATCAAATCTCCTTTCAATTGGTTAACTTTGCTGTATGTTTTATAAATTTTAAAGGGTAGACCAGAAAATAAAACTGTTCAAAGTAATATGCTCTAAGAATGTTTTTTGTTTTTTTTTTTCTGGCAAAGGCTGCTTTAAGAATTGTCCAGACTAAAACTACAGGGGTAGAGTTATATGTAGCAAAAAAAATGTGGGCTCCAATCTCCTATCTGTCTGAGCAACAGATTCAAAGCCATGTTCCGAGAATTTTGACTCTGCCTGGGGGGTGCTCCTGCTGATAGTTTTCTTGTTAAATCCCTCACTTTTTGCATACTTTCCCCCCATTGCATTTATTTCATTGAATCAGTTTTAACTCATTCAATGGCTATTTTTGAAAACACCTGCCGTGAGCCAGGCACTATGCATGGCACTGTGTACACAGGCTCAGCGACAGTCACATAGTCTCTGCCTTCAGAGACTGAACGTTACGCACTTGCCAGGCCGTATAATCTCAGGTTCAAGGACACCCAATATCTAGTAAATGATCAGCTGAAACAATCTTGTAACAATTTTTCTGAAGTTCACTGTCCTCTAGATGTTTTAAAATCTACTCCTAGATGATCAAACCAGCAGAAACTCACAAATGGACTATAACACACTGCTCCTTGGTAGAAATGCTTTTACTGAATTGAGACTTGGAATTATGCCACTGACTTATATTAAGGATGCTAGAAGAAAAAGCTTCATAAAATCCTTCATACGGTTCCCTGGAATGATTCTGGTACATTTATTAGCAATATACCAGGTGGCAAGCTCTTAAAGGGCAACTTTTATTTCAAGTGCCTCAAAGAATACCCAGAAAATGTTTACTAAGTGAATCAAAGTCATCACATAATATGGGTAAATGGGTGACTTTCGTGTATATAGTGGGAATGTGATAATCTTGTTTATTAAATTCTGCCTTGTTCTAGATATACAATCAGATCACTTAGAATTAAGTCCTAAAGGAAAAGCAAAATAATGCATAGACACAAAACAGAGTCAGGAATGAGGGAAATACAAAAACAGGTATCACAAAGCCCTGAGCACTTATTACTTTGGTAAAACATTTATTTCTAAGCCTCTAGCAACCTCTTCAAGGAGAAAACACGTTAAGTTGCATTGTCCACAAGTGTCTATCAGATAAAAACAAAACAAAAAAAAGAAAACTAACCTCTTGAAAGAAACATGTTTCTCAGATGAAGACAAGCAAGAACTATGTTTTAAAGGGCCTTCTCCCGGCTAATTCTCAGTAGGAGAATAAGGAAGATGTGAGGGTGCTAGAGACAGCAGAGTAAGGAGAAGTTCACGCCTGGCTCTGCTAACATGCACATGAGCACAGGGGACAACGCTGACTTTGAAGACTTACAAGATTTCATCACAGTTTTTCACTTTTGCTCCCATCTGCAACTCCTATTCGCGTCCTTGTTGTCAACAACTATATGTGTCCTCAGTGTGTCAGGGTGCCTACTGTTCCCTAGTACCCATGACCGTCTTCTTCCTTTTAATGGACTACTTCTCCCGATTTGTTTCCCAACAGGACTGCCTGGCTAGAGTCTATGTTTCCAGCTTCCTTACAGCTTGACTGACCAAGTTCTTGCCACTGGAATAAACACAAGTATAAGCGACATGTTCAATTTCCCTGTCATTTCCTTACCTCTTCTCTCTCTGCGTTCCCTCTATCTGGAAGATGCATGGGCGCTGCTGAGCCAGTTTTTTCTTTTTTATTCTTTTTTCAAAATAAGCAGATAAGACCAATACCCCCATGGAATGGCAGAACAACACGACAGAAGAAACCTGGGTTCCTGGAACAGAGCTGACTACCCACCTTGATCTATCTGCCTCTCTCTGGGTTGTTTCCAAAAAAGAATAGTAAACTCCTATATTATTTGAGACACTGATCTCTCTGGGTTGTTTCCAAAAAAGAATAGTAAAATCCTATATTATTTGAGACGCTGTATTTTCAGTGTCCTTTATTCAACAGTTTAACCTGTACTCAGTGACCAACAGAATTATAAAAACTTACAAAGGTGGTACATTTCCTGCAGAGACTGACAAACTGCAAAGAGGCCTGAGAGACTGTGAAATATGAATGGAAGATATAACTCTAGCAGGGAAATACACAAGAGCTACAAAAGAAATGACTGGAAATGGTAAGGAAACCACCCTAGGGCTGAAAAGTATCCTAGAGGAAACTTCTGGGTCATGCCCAACATTTAAGCAGAAATAAATGACATTCAAAATAAATGAAAAATCTTGACATTAAGAAAAGATACATTACCTTTGTAATTTCATATAATTGGTTATAATGATTTTAAGAGCATATAAAATAATATAAAGTGATTTTTAACAACATATGTCATCTAGCAGAATCAAATCAGAATTGTTGAAAATTTATGTTGCTTTGTTGACTTACGTTTCGTGGGTGCCAAAAAAGAAGATAGGGTACTTATTGGCTGGAGGCTTCACAGCTCCCTCTGGGAGTTCATCGATCTGTTAAAGATAAAATCAGGTTAAATAGCATAAACATGAACAAACATTGTCATGATAATTTATTGCTATTTTCAAACTAAAATTACTCTAATAAAAATTCCAGTCATTTTTCTTTTCCCTGAACCTTATAAAATGATTCTAGAGGCCATATTGACACATCATATGGAGAATAACCCTGTCAACTGATGGTAACCATTATGGCAACACATAATCAGGAGCCAAAACTACTCACTTCCTTCAGTTCAATAGAATTACACTTGGGAATCTGTCCCTATGAAGTAATTCAAGAGAATAACAAAGAAACAAAAAAGATGCACTTTGGGGGGATAGCAGCAAATTTTTACACATACACACTCCCTAGAAACACAAGCATTACAAAATAGGCGAATTATGGAAAATTAACAAAATATTATGTAGTGGCTAAAAGGTATCTCTTGCCTGGACTACTACAAGTCTCTCCCCACAAGCTGAAGTTGGAACTATGTTTTTAAAAAGCATATTCAATTGTGTCAAATCCTTTAACAGCTTCTCAGAGCTGTGCACATGAAACCTCTGGGACATTTAAAAGTAAAGATCATCAGCCTTCCCCAGATCCATCAATTCTTACATACAGCTGAGTTTGAGAACTTCTAACAGGATAGAGTCCAAACTTTAGAATGCTACATATAGACCCATTATTTCCTGGAATGTTTCAAGGAATGGTCCTTGACTTCTAAATCTCCAATCTGCAGCCCCCACCTTTCTTTTGAACTCCCAGGCTTGAAATTACAAATACCTTCAAACCATTTTTATTTACAGGTCCTGCTGCTGCTGCTGCTGCTAAGTCGCTTCAGTCATGTCCGACTCTGTGCGACCCCATAGACAGCAGCCCACCAGGGCCCCCTGTCCCTGGGATTCTCCAGGCAAGAACATTGGAGTGGGTTGCCATTTCCTTCTCCAATGCATGAAAGTGAAAGTGAAGTCGCTCAGTGGTGTCCAACTCTCAGCGACCCCATGGACTACAGCCTACCAGGCACCTCCATCCATGGGATTTTCCAGGCGAGAGTACTGGAGTGGGTTGCCATTGCCTTCTCCATATGGGTCCTACAAGCAGCTTAAAGCGAAGACAAGGCTATGAGTAGAAGAGACATACTTGTAGTTTATCGAGCAAGGAAAAGGGTCTGGTATCCAGTGTCTTGAAGAAATCTAAGGCCTTCTTAACTAACATATGGCAACAGCCTGAAGATTACTACACATCACAAATTCCTCTCTGAACTGAATGAACCATGTGTCACAGAACAGATGTTCTGGCGTACTCAGAGAAGATGGACTTTGAGTCTAGAAACTTGTAATTAAGTCTGGCTTCTGACTTAAAAACTGTGATATAGAAAACATCACTTAATATTAGACTTTCACATCTGCAAAATGAGATGGTTGTACTAGGTAACCTCTAGGTTTCCTTCAAGTCCTGAAATCCCATGCCTTGTCTAGAACTGAAGTAATTTTCTCTGAATTTGTTTTGTTTCCTGTCTTAAGGATTGGCACACTCAGTTACCAAGAAAGAAACCTTAATCTTTTTTATCATTTCCTTAAGCACTATGTTCAGTTTTTCACCAACTTCTCCAATTTGGCTCCTGAAATGTCTCCAAACTGAATACCATTCCCATTACTAAATTTAGTTCCCTAAAAAAGTTTTCATGAACTTTTGACAAGGCCATAGCAGCCTTTCAAATTATCTCCTTGTCTCTAGGCTTGCACCATCACCTACTATACAGTGTTGGTCACTAAGCTGTGTCCGACTCTTTGTGACCCCATGTGTAGCCCACCAGGCTCCTCTGTCTATAGAGTTCTCCAGGGAAGAATACTGGAGTGGGTTGTCATTCCCTTCTCCAGGAGATTTTCCTGACCTAGGGACTGAATCTGGGTCTCCTGCGTTATCAGCAGATTCTTTACCATCTGAGCCACTGAGGAAGCCCATTTACTATGCAACGTCTGTGGAAACCTTGTATGTGTTACATTCAATATACTACCCTATAAGGACAGTTTAAAATGAATAATTTCATTGTGACTAAAACTCAATATATTTTCAGTTTTTTATATATACACACACACATATATTATTGTGGTAAAAAAGACCTAATATAAAATTTTCCATATTACCCATTTTTAAACTTATAGTTCAATAACATTAAGAATATTCACACTGCTTTGATACAGATCTCCAGAAAGTGAACATATTTTAAATGAACAAAAAATAGAAATTAATATGGAAATGCATATGTTTATGTATGTGGGAGGCACTGAATTGCTAGCTGACAAAGCACTCTCACATCAGGTTTTTTTTTTTTTCACTCCTGTGAGAAAACTGAAAGTGAATCTTTAAAAAAAATCTTTTAAAACTTTTCTTTCACATAAGACATTAACTTGTGATTGAACTCTTCCTCTGCTGTAATGTTATGTAACTAACATCTACTGTAGAAGCTACAAACTGATGGCTCTTAGGCCCATGTCCAGCCTGAAGAAATGTTTTGTTTGGCTCATACAGTGTTTTAAAAATACTGAATGAGTTGTCAACACTTTAATACTGGAAGATTCATTATTAAAATCCAGATTAATAGCTACTGTGGAAAAAATACTGAAGACAGGGCTGAGCAACACTATGCCTGATTCCCACAAGGCAACAATCAGCTGAAGATGATCAACAGCTGCCTGCAGACAAGGTCTATTCTTTCAGCTATAACCTGCCTACCTTTCTCCAGGTGATGCTGTAGATGCCTGCTTCCCTTACTTACTCAACTTGCTTGGCCTCTTTGACTATTTGAGTTTGTGCCTCCTGTGATAAACAGTGTCAAGACAGAGGCTTTACCATCACTCTGGTTCCCTCAAAAAGGTGTTAAATGTTGACATGCACTCACTGTATTTTATTGAGAGTCTTGTTCTGAAAATTATGTTTTGATAGTTTTGGAATTATACTGAACTGTTCAAGCAGATATACCTTCTTGATCCAATTAAAGAATGCACCTCCAAGGCACCAGTTTTTGTGTTTTGGCTTCGAGAGTGAATACTCAGTGGCAACATAACTTTATCTTCAGTTGTTGTTGTTGTTGTTCAGTCACTAAGTTGTGTCTGACTCTTTGCAACCCCACAGACATAGCATGCCAGGCTTCCTTGTCCTTCACCATCTCCTGGAGTTTACTCAAACTCATGTCCATTGAGTCAGTGATGCCATCCAACCATCTCGTCCTCTGTCGCCCCCTTCTCCTCCTGCCCTCAATCTTACCCAGCATCAGGGTTTTTCTCAATGAGTTGGCTCTTCACATTAGGTGGCCAAAGTACTGAAGCTTCTGTTTTTCTACTGTTTCTGCTTTCCTGAATTTTATTTTCACTTTTATTTCTGGTTCTTGGCTATGTTTGGTTCTGATTCTGGTTTGCACACAGCCAGTGTGTTACTCCCCATAATAGGAGGATGGGGATCTAGTTTCTTTTGGGTATGACAGGGCAAATAATCTGGTTCAACAGTCTTCTGGTTTGTAGAAGAATAAGTCCTGCTTTTACTGGAAAGAAGAAAAGCCCTTTGAGATCCAGATCAGTTAGTGTATGAATTTAGCGCATCCTTTAACCTGCAGCTGAAGCTGTAGACCTGAAGCTGAGGCTTCTGTGTGTGTCTATACTCGAAAGAGTCTTGACCCTTCTTTGCATGAGTTTGAAAGATTGTCCTTTTTCTAGGAAGGGTATTAACAAATTAGATATAAATTTCTTAAAACGAAAGAGTTCTGTTTATTGAGTTATAGATACTAATAAGATTACAAAAATCTAATATAAAGGAACATAACAATCCTCAAGAAGTTACAAAAGTGAATGTAGAGTACTTCTTGTTATTTTCTTTGTTTGTCTGCTCTGCTTACTGCAGAGACACTTCGGGGAGGTCAGGCAGAAGCTGAGACTGTCCCTCGAGCCCGAGGAGGTGGAGCCTGGAGGGAGGGGCCTCATGTTTCCTAGGAAACTTGTTCTTGGAGTCTCATCCCTGGGCCCTCGCCATCAACACCACATGGGGACTCATGAGAAATGTGTCTTCTCAGTCCACAACCCAGGCCAACTGACAGACACCTTGCGGGTTAGGCCCAAGAATCAGTGTTTTAAGGACCTCCAGCCACACACATTGGGGTGCATGCATTCTTTCAGACTACATTTTTCTCTGGAATATATGCCCAAGAGTGGGATTGCAGGGTCACATGGCAGCTCTATGTTTAGATCTTTAAGGAACCTTCATACTGTTCTCCAGAGTGGCGGCACCAAATCATATTCCCACCAAAAGTGTAGGGCGACTCCCCAGCTGTTTCTGATGTTAACGATAAGACATTCCACCCTCCTGCTGGGGGTCCTCCAGATGAGCCACCTTTGCTTCCTATGATTAACTAAGTCTGCTTAAATCTGCAGCATTTTTGCACTGAGACTGCAAAATTGCATCAGTGCACATTTATTTGCCTAATACTCTTAAAAAATGTATAAAATGTACATATAATTGTCAATCTTTTAAAGGAGTGCTACACTATATTAAATGTGGTGGCCTTTTAAGGGAAAAAATCCTTCTCACAGGAGTATTTTTATACATGAATCCAAATTTAAGTAATCAAAGTGAATCTTTGAACAAATCAGACTGGTTTACAATTCTGGTTTAAAAACAACTATTTGTCTTTATCTGGATTTAATCATGGTAGAGTGTAACATACATGAATAAAAACATAATAAAATCTGGGTTTCTCCTGAAGATACTAATTTACTAGTATCTTCCACATACTAGTATTACTTACATATAATGTTTAGGATTAAGGAAATGTAAACTTAAATTACAATTCTGACAAACTCTCCTGTATCAACAGTAATTATATTCTGTGGGATGTTAAGATCAAACACAATTTCTTTAAGACCTTGGACTAATAATTAAATTAATTAAAGGATAATCTCTGCATCTTTGAATAATTCCTAAGATAGAATGCTGAAACGACTGGTCAGCAAGTGTG